CTTTATTCCTAGCTACGGGCCTGTTATCATAAAACATAAATAATAAAACTCATTATTTTAAAGACGACCTTAGATTATGTCTGCTAGAGTGTATAGTGTACACTGTAACAACTACTGTTAACCGACTAAATTCTTGTTGAAAAACTTTTCTGTGCTTCGTCCCATGTAGAAATAGTAAAAACATGGCAGGAAGGGAATACGGATCAAGGTAGATATTATCAAGCTTTTTCCCCATAATTTAAGTATTGTCAGTGGGTTGTTTCTGGGGATTTATATATGCCTGAATTTGATTTAACATTTTATCCAAATTCATGATTTTTTAACGGATTTATCCGGCTTAAATTTAGTTTGTAGTGTCACATGCTTATGTGTTAGAATGCCCTTTTATTTCTAGAAGTTACGGAGGTGGTGGAGGAGGAGGTCGGTACGAAGGCGGAGGAGGTGGGGGACACGGAGGAGGCGGTGGTGGATATGGAGGAGGTGGCGGAGGATACGGTGGAGGCCGTCAACCTCGTCCTCTCCCAGATGAGCCACCGTTCACAGCTTTTGTCGGGAATCTCCCCCTGGAATTGGTTCAAGGAGACGTTGATGATATATTTAAGGAATCTGAACCTTTCAATTCTAATATCGTTCACATGAGTTGGGTTAAATGTACATGGTAAAACGCTTACAGGGGTAATTTCCTAGGGAACGATTCTCGNTATAATGAGAAAATAGAACCGTGATGTACTCTATCGGGTGTCTTAATTAAGAAAATACCAGCTTGCTTCAATTAAAAAGAATATATGAGTACTCTTTTTTGTAACAAATTGTGTAAAAAGACTAATTAATTAAATATATCCATTGAATTGCAAACTATGATGATAAGGTTTGGTTAACCAGGAGCTGCGTGTGCGAAGTGTCCGACTAGTTCGGGATAAAGAATCCGACAAGTTCAAGGGGTTCTGCTATGTCGAGTTCGAAGACAGAGCTTCTTTAGAGGTTTGTCGAGACATTTCAAATATTTCTATCTTTCTGTCTGAATTTCTCTCTATACAGTCGCAATATTGTCACTCGTAATAGGAATAGACTTGAATACACATTACACAAGCAACATTTAGTAAAGACGATTTTCCTTCAAATCATAATTCCAATGCGGAAACCGGTTTTTGTGAGCTATAAGTCGAAAAGTTCACCAACGAAGACCAAAAATAATTTTTTTCAAAATACATCGAATTGGGTATAAAAACATTGAATTCGGAACCGTTGAAATGCAAAAAACTGATCTTGAGCCCTAGATCAAACTTGAGCCCTAGATCAAACTTGAGCCCTAGATCAAACTTGAGCCCTAGATCAAACAATTGTCAAGATTTCGAAACTAAATGAAATTGACAGTATTCACTACTCAGTGGCTTCAGAGTCTGACGCATCTTAAGATACCCATATAAACATATTTTGAATACATTTTTTTTTTACTAATGACATTATTGATTTTTTCCCTCACCTTTAGAGTCATTTTCGCATATATATATATCTATATATATAGCTATTTTACAGAAACTTTCTTAAAGATTTTCATATTGACACATCCTTCAATACCAGTTGACAATATTGAGATTTCAAAAAAAGTGTAAAAATCGAACCCCTTACTTCACGGTGGTTTATACTTTCTTGTTTTTGCTGATCGGAATACATGCATGATTATATGGGAAAATAAATAACATTTTGGGAAAAAAGTATCAAAAACTTGCCTTTTAAACTTTTATTTTTTTCCCAAATCTCCCAAAAATCGTTCTTAAGTTCTTAAAAATATTCCCTCCTGTCTCTTTACCGTTCTGTCTATTTGTCTTCTTATTTTTCATTTGTCTGCTGTTCTATTTCGGAGATTTTCCCCGTCTTTCTATCTGTATAATCTGTATATATTTCTACCTAGGTCTGTCATATCTTCAATCTGTCTGTTTTTATCTACCTGTATTTTGTTCTGTCTGTCTGATTCTTAATTTAACTTTTCCACTTAATATTAAAGATGCAAGGAACCAATATTTTTTTTTACATTTTTTTTTTACATTTTTTTTAATGTCCTGCACTGATTTTTTTGTGGTTTTTATTTAATTTTTCATCGTGAAAAATACATTTTACTAACTGAACAAGATTATAGATTATTCACAATGTTAAATATCCCAGACCCCTTCAATTACCGTAGGAGCCATAGTGGTCGGTTTTAGACATTGATAATTTTCTTGGATTCGGATCCGTGGATTCGTTTTTTTTTGCGGATCCAGGTCATGAGAGTCTATCCTTAGGAACGGAACAAGAACTTAAGAAAAAAAATAAAAAATAAAATTTGACTTATTCAGGAATCCTTATCATACAATGGAGCACAAGTAGAAGGAAGACCCTTGAGAGTTGATGTTGCAGAGGGGAGAAAGAATGACAGGTAGAAAAACAACGACCAAACGGCTGAACCGATTGGGGCCAAGTTATCATGGCGGGGACCTTAACTTGGCTTTATGACTGGCTCTATTCAAAATGTCCTCTAAGTGAAAATTAGAAAATCCACTAAATAAAACCGGAATATTTCAGATTATTTTTTTTAATGATGTGAAAATGCCTAACAGATGAAAGTTACAAAGATATATCTTTATTTTTCAAGTTTTCATTTGACTTATTTTGTTTCTCAGCCAGTAAATTCTGTTTAATTTACCTTAGTAAGTGTATATTTTCTTTAAACTCATTCCAACCCCCGCCCCCCTCACAAAAAATCATTTTTCTTCCAGTTAAAATTAGTAAAGTTCTTGCTAAAATTGGGTTTTAATTTTGCTAAATTCGGGTTTAATCTTGCTCAATTTGGGTTTTAATCTTGCTAAATTTGGGTTTAATCTTGCTAAATTTGGGTTTAATCTTGCTAAATTTGGGTTTTAATAATGGATCCGGATCCAGGAAGCCAAAATCTTGCGGATCCAACAGATCCTAAGCACTGTTTTAAAGATTTCTTTAAATCTTTAAAATATTTACCCCCGGACTATTTAGGGATGGACGAGGAGGTGGGAGGGGAGGCCGAGGTGGACGTGGCGGAGGTCGAGGTGGGTTTGATGATAGAGGTCGGGGAGGGGGATTCGAGGACAGACGAGGAGGTGGAGGCGGAGGAGGTTATAACGACGAAAGAGGTAAATATGTTTTTTTGGTCACTGCTATGGATCCGAATCCTGGATCCGCCCTAAATGAAAATGGATCCGGATTCAGGCCATTTCTTTAAGATTTGTTAACTTTTTAAAACAATTAAAGAGTTTTAAAATAAAATAACCACTCAGTTTTTGGCTTGAACTTGATTAACCATACCATTTAGAGAATAAGACTTTTTGAAATGATTCATTGTAGTGCATATGAAACAGTTTTTTTTACCAACAAGCGAGTGGGACAATTTTTGCGCACCATAAAGGTTTGTTACAACTTTATCGCAGGATTGGAAAATTCGGAAAAATTCTAAAATAAATGTTCTTGATATTCATGGCAGGAAATTTAAATGAACTTTTATTTTGAGAGTTGCTTAATTGTCCAATTTGCAAGGATACCCTTTACGTCTCTATCTGAGTAACAATGAAGATGATACCGTCGTTCTGTAAAAGTTTTAAATTCGAACAATTTTTTCATTGCTGCAGTATAAATCATCAAGTCTATTTTTGGAGAAACAACAATTGATAAATCATTTTGTAGCTCGACATAAACGTAAATCTCATTCATACTTGATCAGACAAAGGTTAAAGAACTTGGGTGAATCGGATATGCCACTCTTTCACTTAATATTAAGTCTACTTCCCCTTTAAGCAGTGCTTAGGATCCGGATCCATTGGATCCGCAAAAATATGCGGATCCACGGATCCGGATTCAAGGGCTAAAGTATCAACCAAAAACTGAAAAAAAAATCTGAATTTTTGAAAAAAATGACGAATCCGGATCCATTATTCCAAGTGCGGATCCAGGATCTGGATCCGCATCAAAATTAACTGGATCCTAAGCACTGCCTTTAAGTCACCTTAGATATTTTCAAAAATCCATTATTTTTCATACTACCGAATGGCGAATGAAGACTCATTATCACATCCGAGATGATAAGTTTATCATTTAAAATAATGTATTCAGGATTCAGAGAGGATCGTCGTGGCGGATCCAGAGGCGGGTATGGCGGAGAGCGGGGCGGAGACAGAGGTTATGGCGGAGACAGGGGAGGAGACAGAGGCGGGTTCGAGGAAAGAAGAAGAGAACGAAAAAACTCAGATAGACATCACGGAGAAGATTTTAAAGAAGCAAATCCAGGTAAATTAATCATAGCAGACATAAACCTAGGTATATCAATCACAGCAGACATAAACCTGGGTATATCAATCACAGCAGACATAAACCTGGGTATATCAATCACAGCAGACATAAACCTGGGTAATCCAATCATAGCAGACATAAACCTAGGTATATCAATCACAGCAGACATAAACCTAGGTATATCAATCACAGCAGACATAAACCTAGGTATATCAATCACAGCAGACATAAACCTAGGTATATCAATCACAGCAGACATAAACCTAGGTATATCAATCACAGCATACATAAACCTAGGTATATCAATTATAAGCAGACATAAACCCAGGTGTAAGCACATACATAGAGTATTACATATATTGCGCTTTATTTTAAAGGATTTTTGTTTTTGTTAAAGAAGGAACTTCAGACTATATTTGAAGTAACCATTCATTTATAGAGAAGCATGTCCGATTCACTGTAGTACTCTTAAAAGCATTTTCTGATAATGAATAAAGGAGTTACAAATGTATTTCTCTTAAAAATGAACATTGATTATTTTGAATTGTGGTTATCAGATAATTAATATCTTCCGCATTACTTATTAGCTCAAGGATTAAAGGGTTACCGTTGTGAAATGAAATTATAACGACCGTTAATTTAAAGACGCATAAATTAAATGACACTTTTAAAAAAAAAAATTTTATATTTGTTTCAGAGGATGCCTCCCGGCGTCCCCGGCTTCAGCTGCTACCCCGGACTGTTAAAGATCCCGTGAATCAGATTGCCAGTGATCTTCAGCAAGCTAAAATATTCGGAGGAGCCAAACCTGTGGACAGGTAGTGGGGGCAGGCAGTGCTTAGGATCCATTTAAATTTGATGCGGATCCGGATCCTAAATACGCACTGGAAAAAAATGGATCCGGATCCAGGTCATTTCTTTAAGATTTACTGAATTTAAAAAAAAAAAATCAATTTTCAAAATTTTTGTTTTATTGTTTTCGCCTACTTTTATCCTAAAACTTGATGAACCATTCAGAAAAGAGGAAATTAATTTAATCTCGCTTTTTGGTTCAGATTTTGGTTTTATTAGTAAAAGTTTTTTATGCAGTTTTTGGTTGATATTTTACCCTTTGGATCCGGATCCGGATCTAGGAAGCCAAAATCTTGCGGATCCAACGGACCCGGATCTTAAGCACCGGGGGCAGGGTTGTATATATATTAATAAATCATTATTTTCCACCAGATGTTAAATGTTTTTTGAAAATTTTGGTAGAATTAAAAGTATCAAAAAGATGAAAAAAAACTTGCCTTTTCTTTCCCCTGATGACTAAAAATCATTTCCTCACGCCCGGGGTTGGGGGTTGGGGGGGTTAAAAAACTTTATTTGCCTGGTTTTAAGGGTTTACGCAATTATTATTTAAGCACATTTTTCTACTAGAATTTGTACTACTGTTCTTATTACATTATAATGAGAGGTCTATATTTTCTTGGAAAACCATGACATAATAAATGATTATCAATTTTTTTTGCTGAATTTGGAAAATGCACTTTATTTCTACAATTTCTTCAAAATGGATTTACTTCCCAAGGTGGCATTTTCTGAAAAGACTGCATATTAATATATTCCTAAGAAACAAATTATGCGTTTTGACTTGAAACCTGATGGTCCATTTTCAGTGTGTAAGATGGAAAAACTTGTCAATTAACCAATTTCTTATTTCATTTTCCCAAGCATTGAAAATTCATTTCCCGCGTGGGCCGGGGGGGGGGGGTCCAGAGATCCATTTGTTATAATCTAAATATATAAATTGATTTTATTAACTAGATGTATCTTGTTTAGAAAGGAGGATGAGAAGGAGAAGGATGAATCACAGGAGCAGTAGAGAATATTCATTCATTCATTCATCAATTCATTCATTCATAACTGTGTGCGCTGAATGATTCAAGACTAGGGACTTGAATGTGTGTGTATATATTTCTACTTGGATAATGTCAACTTAAATATTAGTGGGGATCCACCCCCACCCCCTCTCAACTCAACTTTGTACTTTTCAGACTCTAATGTAATTCTTTACACATTGTAAATAATTTTTTTGCGCTCCCAAAAATCTACATAATTTTTATACTTATTTATAAAGCTATCCAACAGCATAAAAAATCTGAATTTTTAATATCGGGCAAAATTTTCTTTTGATCATGTTGAACTGAAATTGAGAGAATTATTTTGATGCTGGTCACAAAACAGCTGAAAATAAAAGAGAATTTTTTAAAAATAATCATTTTAAAATATTCAGTTATAATATTGCTCGGCTTTTATCAAATCAGCGTGACCGGTGGTATTTTTTAAACAACGCTAGAATTTCCCGTTTTTTATCCTAAAATTTGATGTTTTGTTTAAACCTGCTGTATGCAGTTGTACCGTACAGTCAGAACAGTAGCAAATTGTTAGACCGTACATACCACTGGTACAGTACTGTACAGTTGAGTTCAGTATCATCTTAATAAATGTCAAATCTGATTTTTATTTCTAGATTTCACAATGTTCAGTGTTCACAATGATGTTATTTTACATTTAAAAATAGTTCTTTTCTTCACCCTGCCTTCCGTTAACCTTCCACTTTATTTTCCTCTAAGGGACTGTTGATGAAATTGTAAGTGACCCTCAAGTCCGATTCACAACGTTTCCCTTTAACTTAGTATGATTATGAATGAATGAAATATCCATGTTCTTAACTTAGAAAAATTAATCATCTTCCATTGTGGTTTCTCTAAATAGTGACTTGCAGATTACTTGAATCCGGCAGGCCCCGGTTTTTTTTTTCAATTGAGGGTTACTTAAAATGGCAACGACAGTGCCTTTAATTCCTTGTTCTTCTCTTCTATTCTAATGCAATTTCTATTTTATAATTTTTAAACTAATCCTGCTTATTTATGTCATTAATAGTTCACCACGTCTACACGGGTGTATATTTACCCCTGCACGTCCATTACCACATCCTACTTTTTGTCCTAATTTACCATAATGGTCATGTCTAATTACCATCCTTATGTTACTTTCCATATTTACCCTGTGTATCATGTCCAAGTCCATTACCATATCCTTCATGTTCTTTTTTCTAATTAACCATACAAGTCTCGTGTATTACCATCTTTTTGTTCATGTCGTAATTTACTTTGTTAATCATGTATATTACCATGTCATATCCTTAATGTTTTTGTCCTAATTTACCGGATATTCCATGTCCATTATCATTCTTATATTCCTTTCCTTATTATCATCACGGCTGTTACCATATCCTTTGTTTTGTCCTAATTTACCAAATTTCTCATCCTTTATTTCTGTCCTTATTTACCATATTTATTCCCACATCCTTTTTTGTTTGTTTGTTTTTGTTTTAACATACATATACCGTACATACCCATAGTCAAGGTACTAATGCAAGGAAAGTTAATTGAGGTCGCGTATACTCTGCGTACATATTGAAACCAGTTCTCTCTGGGCGGAATTTGTAAACAAGAATAGACGCATCAGTGTTCGTCTAGTACCCGAGAATGATAAAAGCATTTAATTTTGATAATTTTGAAAATTCACATTATAGTTTCCAATGACCAGAATATTTCATAGATTATTTTTGTGAAAATGGATTCCATGTCAGGCTGTGACATCCGTCTTGTGTTTATTTTTCCGCCCAAAGACAATACACTGCGGTACAAAAAATGCGTACACCTTTGAAAACACTTTCCTTGCATTAGTACCTTGCTCATAGTCAACTTTTTTCTTTCCAAAATCACAATTTTTTAGTATAAAGATGGACTTGGTGGTGACATGTAAAATTTGGGTTGGTTTTAATAAATTTCTAAATATCAAAAATTCGAATTTATATTTCTGTACGTATCCGATTTTTTATGGGTTTTTTTCTCAACATTTTTCATTTAATTTTATCATTAAATTCTATGAAGTCTCTAGTTGCCATTAAACCATCTGTAAATGTTTTCTTCCTCAAAATCTTACCCAAATACAAATGCATTCTAGGAGGTAAAATTTGTCTTTACTAGCAACCTTTTTTAGAAATGTCTAATTTAATTACAAGGAAAACAGTTCAGTGGCCGAATTTAAAGAATTTGAGCGGCGGTATAAATGTAAGCCGCGGCTAAAAATTGTATCAAATGTTTCAAGATTTAAGCCGGCGCTTAATTTAAACCGGGTTTGGCAGATTTAAACCGCGGCTTAAATTCTTTAAATTCCATCTCAAATCATTCATTTTTTATTCTACACTTGTAAATCAACGCTTAGTGATTCCTTGCTGTTAATCTATCCTGTCCCAATAACTAGAAAAATATTTGTTTTCAACAAAATATTTCCCCTCTTGGCTTTATCGAAATATTTTTTCTTATTAAAATGGTGTATTTTCTTACAAGGTGTTGGAAGCAAGTCTTCATATGTATTATGAGTATTTTTGTTAATATTTTTTCAAAAATAATAAAAAATTACTTAAAATACATTTTTATTGATAAAGGAGACTGTCTTTTTCATTTAAATTTTTAAACATTTTTCGACTTACTTTTTGAACTTTTTAAAATCCTTCTTTACATCCGAACCATTAAAGTTAGAGGTAAAAATATTTTTATGAGCATGGCTTGAAAAGTTGGAATAGGGTCATGTATCACACTCATAAAGAGGGTGGCATCCATCAAATCTAAAATAGAAAAAAATAGCCCAATCGGCATAGGGTTGTCTGATCCAAAATGTGGAAGATTAAGTCGTTTTTCTACAGGGTGTCCCACGAAACATGACATTTAATAAATATTTATTTTTAGTTAAACAAATCTTTTGCTTAATTATTTTTTACTTTGAAAGCAATTTTAATATAGCAAGACTCCCACATAATATTTTTATTGATCTTCGGTATCAAACAAATGAACAAATAATGTAATGTTTCGTGGGACATCCTGTAGCTTATTGTTAAGTGCTGAATTCTGCTAATTTCTTCATTATTCTTGAAGCAAGAAATGCGCAAGTTTTTTCTAGAGAAACCAAAAATAATTATTTTCAAATACATAATTATCCAATTTATACATAATTTATACTTGCCCAACCTAGGTCTGGGCACGTTCAGACTTTTTTCAAATCTTTCCGTTCTAGAACCTTCAGCTAGATCGTCCTTTTTCCAATCGTTCCATCCGAGTTCAGTTCTTGGTGTTCTTGGTCAAAGAACGATTTAATGCAATACTTAAATAGACTATAGACAAAGCTTTGAAAGGTATTGTCATGAATCAGAATTGAAATCATGTCTGCATTCTACATTAATTGAACTGCTTTTTACGTTTGTGAATTTAGAAGAAATACGGAAAGAAATTTACAAGATGATTTTAAAAAAAGAATCAAGAATCTTTTTTTTCAACAAATCTCTAGCTGTTATATTAAATTAGCCCCCCCCCCTTCCAAGGGAGGGGCCCGTGCACCCAAGCCCACTTCGTACGCCCCTGCACATTCCTGATTTAAAATGCAACTTAGAACGCGTTCCGTGTGATAAGAACGCGTTCCTGATTCAACTTTCTTTTCAAGGAATTTCCGTTCGTTCCAAGTTCGTTTTTCTGATAATCATTTCTATATTTTTAACGATTCTTGATAATTCCGTTCGTTTTTGCATCGTTCCCAAGAAACGACGCCCAACCTTTGTACCGCTCTGAATCTGACATGTCACTCGATCAATGAAGTTTCACCTAAGATAATGTTTACAGTGCTTAAGTGTTCAGTCTTTATATTTTGGCGTTCATCACATTTTTGAGACTAAAAGCTTAAGGATTGCTTATTTGTTATAGAATACATCACAGATTAATTAACGGTCGAATGGTTGACGTTTAAAAAAACGAATTTTCGACACTTTGTTTTATGGAACGCATCATAGAAAGAGAAGAATTTCTTTTTTCCAGAATGATCTTTTTTGACATTTTACAGAGTGTCCCAATAAACAAGGGGATTAAAAGACGATTTTTAGATCTTTGTAAATGATTTTAAGATTTAGTATATTTTATGGATCAGAAAGGTCACAATTGAACTCTGAAAAATTTCTCTACAATACTGCACTCTCAGTACTCTCAGTTCAAATACCATGTCTAGCCGGTCACTCCCTTTATTGGCAGTGTCATAGTTTGAAATACAAATTTCCATCTAAAGAAGGGTATAAACGATTCACAACGCTACACTGAAAACATTTATCTGATCAATAATGTTGATGAAATTGCCTTTTTTGACGATTTTTTTACTATTTCTACAGCAGAAATCCGCAAGTCACTTTTACTGAGAAACCAAAATTGAACAAAATATTTTAAAACAGAATAATAATCTTAATCTCAAATAAACAACGCTTTTAATAGTATCTTTGTGGATAGGATACGAGGGGGGATGATAGTTTCCTACCATGTGTGCTCAAGTTACTGTACAGTGTACACTTACAACTGTTTACTAATAAGGATATACTATACCAAGGATTTAATGCAAGGAAAGTTAATTCAGAGGTGTACGCATCTTTTGTACTGCAGTGTACTGATAGAGCTGGGTAGATGTGGGATGATGTGTTTATACCCCCTCCCCAGCTCAGGGCATTATAAAAAATATAAAAAAAAACAGTCCCGTAGCTAGAGGAAGGCACAGGGGCACTTGCCACCCCCCTTTTCCCCCGAAGGGGCACCTTATCTGAGGCAACAAAAAAAGGAGGAAAAAGTGAAAAGAAGGAAACGAAAAATAAGAGAAAAAAGGGAAAAGGGAGGAAAACTGACAAAAAATCTAATGTTTGTCACCAGAACTATAAATTAAGGATGATTTTTCTTCAAATTAAAGAATTCTGCTTTCTGAAATAAATTATTTGGGATTTTTTCTATCCTATCAGTTGATAGGATTTAAGACAATTTTTGTATTTTGAGAAACTTCGTTTTTTCCCCTTTTTTAGTTAGATTAATGATTTTAATTAACTATCTTACAACAAAAAGTAACATGGAGACAAATCGAAATTATCAGGAGAGTTTTCTCAAATTTGAATTTTAGTTTTGGGAAAACTAAGATGAGCTTTCCTTAAACTTCTACAGACATGTACAATGTACATCCTTTCCCTGTAGTAAAAATATATGTTGGCTATTCGTGATGATGATGTATAGTCAGTATGATTATGACACCATTAAACCTCCAGAGGCTGAATTTAAAGAATTTGAGACGTGGCTCAAACATGGTTTGCTCCACTTGAAATTGTATTCAGTGTTTCGAAATTTGAGCCGGCGCTCAATTGGAACCGATTTTTGTGGTTAAGCGACGCAGTTTAAATTCTTTCAAGTCGGTCTCAGTTCTTTGTTGTTTTGGTGTTTTGATGCAAATAGCCTCTAAAAGAAAAAAGGCGAATCTATATTAATAAACTATGAGTGATAAGTTGAAAATCTAGTTTTGTAGTCTGGGAGTCATTAATTTTAACCTTTTTTGAGTATTTCAAATAAAATTTTAATGCATATATATTTGCGCTCTAACAT